GTGAGGAAGGTGGAACCCAAGATCTTCCTTATATAATTTGTTGTTTTGTCGTGAAATTGGGTTATTGAATGTTTTCATTGAGTTATTTGAGATGGTCCTTAATTGATTTAAGGAAGTTTGGTTTATTCTTGAGTGTCAGTAATTATGGTTAGTGGTTGGTTATTATTAAGAAGATCGAATGAAAGATTCTATCAACGTAACTTTATAGTTTTTAAGAAGTTTGGGAACAGGGAATGACAGAGTTGTTGTTTTGGGTAGTAGGGGATTAAAGAGTGAGAGTTTTTACGAGTGTGGCCTAGTGGGAGTGAGTTATACATTTGGGCGTACAGCGGTGAGTGAATAGCGTCCCAATTAATTTATGGAAAAAAATTTATTTTATTTCAATATGTTGTTCTCAATAGATTCACATGTATTTTAATATTATCCTTATTAATCATTACACCATCTGAAATATTTTATTTATCCTGGTTCCTTTTTAGATTCACACTACTCTAACGAAGGATTTGGGACTCTGAAAATTGAAGGGAAAAATATTTTTGGTTCTCTATTGAGGATTATAGCAAATATACCGCATTTTTTGGTTTACAGTTGCTGTTACCCGCCTGTATAACTAGAGTATATGATGACGAGTAATATGACATGAACAAGCTCAAACCTCCATTGTCGAGGTTTCTGGAGTCATCAGCTTCATCCGTCTCCAAGTCTTTCAATGCCACTATCAACCGCCTTTCATCCCAAGGTGCTCACAGTGAAGTTCTTCTCACATATGCCTCTATGCTTAGGAACCATGTCCCTTCAGATGCGTACACCTTCCCAAGTCTGCTCAAAGCTTGCACCTTTCTGAACCTTTTCTCCCTTGGGCGTTCCCTGCATCAATGCATCGCCGTTAAAGGTTTGTCTTTTGATGCCTATATTGCTTCGTCGTTGGTTAATTTCTATGTGAAATTTGGATGCACAAATACTGCTCGCAAAGTTTTTGACTTTATGCCTGAGAGGAATGTCGTTCCTTGGACCAGTGTTATTGGATGCTATTCTTGGGAGGGTAATCTTGAAATGGCTTATGCCTTGTTTAATGACATGCGTCAACAGGGAATTCAACCCAGTTCGGTTACTCTTTTGACCATTCTGTCTGGAGTTTCAGTCCTTGCCCATTTGCGGTGTTGGCATGGTTGTGCAATATTTTATGGATTTATGTCCGATATAACACTGTCAAATTCTTTTCTAAGTGTATATGGAAGATGTGGAAGCATTGAAGACTCTAGGAAAATATTTGAGTATATGGGTGAAAAGGACCTTGTTTCATGGAATTCCTTGATATCAATTTATGCTCAGATAGGAAATCTATGTGAAGTATTACAACTTCTAAAGACAATGTGGGCAGTGGGTATGAAGCCTGATCAGCAGACTTTTGGGTCGGTGTTGTCTGTGGCTGCATCAATGGGTGAGTTGAAACTGGGTAGGTCTGTGCATTGCCAGATTCTAAGAGCTGGATTTGACCTTGATGCACATGTAGAAACAGCCTTGATTGTTATGTACTTTAAAGGTAAGAACATTGATAATGCGTTTCGAATTTTTGAAAGGAGCTCTGACAAGGATGTAGTTTTGTGGACAGCAATGATCTCTGGCCTTGTGCAGAATGAGTCTGCTGATAAGGCACTGGCCATCTTCCGCCAAATGTTAAAATTCCAGGTCAAGCCATCCACTGCTACTATTGCAAGTGTCATTACTGCTTGTGCACAATCGGGATCTTTTGATTTGGGAATCTCAATTCATAGTTATGTATTAAGGCAAGAATTGACTTTAGATATCACTGCTCAGAACTCCCTTGTGACCATGTATGCCAAGTGTGGTAAATTGAATCAGAGTTTTATTGTGTTTGATAATATGAGCAAAAGGGATTTGGTTTCCTGGAATGCTATAATTGCTGGATGCACTCAAAACGGCCATATATGTAAGGCTTTGCTTCTTTTCAATGAAATGAGGACTCATTGTCAAATACCAGATTCAATAACTATTGTCTCTCTTCTTCAAGGTTGTGCTTCCATAGGAGCACTTCATTTTGGTAAATGGATGCATAGTTTCATTATAAGAAATAGCTTAAGTTCATGTATTTTGGTTGACACGGCTTTGGTAGACATGTACTCCAAGTGTGGCCACTTGGATGCTGCACAAAATTGTTTCAACAAGATGCCGTGTCAGGATTTAGTCTCATGGGGTGCCATAATTGCAGGATATGGTTATCACGGCAAAGGAGAGACGGCACTGACTCTATACTCTGAATTCCTGAGAAGTGGCATGAAACCAAACAATGTCATTTTCCTCTCAGTTTTATCATCTTGTAGCCATAATGGACTTATTGACCAGGGTTTGAACATATACCAATCAATGACAGAAGACTTTGGGATCACACCTAATCTAGAACACCACGCTTGTGTGGTCGATCTCCTTAGTCGAGCTGGGCGAGTAGAAGAGGCATATGACTTGTACAAGAAGACATTCCCTGAGCCTGTGCTTGATGTTTTAGGAATACTCCTCGATGCTTGTCGGGTAACTGGAAACAATAAACTTGTTGAGATGATTGCTAAAGATGTTCTCATGTTAAGGCCCATGAATGCGGGAAATTATGTGCAGCTAGCACATGGTTATGCTTCAACAAACAACTGGGAAGGTGTAGGAGAGGCATGGACCCATATGAGATCTCTTGGCTTGAGAAAAATTCCTGGCTGGAGTTTCATTGACATACATGGGACCATCACAATATTTTTCACCGGTCACAACTCTCACCCACAATTTCAAGAAATTGTCTCAACACTGCATATATTGAGAAAGGAATCAGGGAAAAAGGAAGAAATGGGAATCGACTTTGAGATCTGCCAATGTTCATGAGTTTTATATTATACAACCAAGTTAACTTATTCAATTTTTTATTTGCTTTGCTTCTTTCCATGGCAAGCAACGAGCTTTCCTTAGCAACTTTTAGTCTTTTAGATACTGAAGTTGAGGGTGGATGAGGGATCGTTGACTAGAAGGGTTTAGTGTTGTTGAGTTGATATGTAGAGAAAATTCGGGTGTTGGACGCATACCTAGTCATCAGGTAGGGGACGTATGGAGAGAAGTTAGGAATTTGCACGATCGTGTAAAAACACAACCAATTCATTAATGTTGCAAAAATAATTCAAGTGTATGATTGAGTTGTACTAATAAAACACTCCTTTAAAAAGAAAGTGCTTCTTTTTCCACCAAAAAAAAAAAAGTTCGCTTATTTGCATATGGCCAAAAAAGCAGGAATTTTCCAACTGTTAAAATAGTAACAATGATGCTTAATATTTTCAACAATGAGGAGTAAAATTGATGTGATTTTAAATTTTTGGGGCAATAAAAAAAAGGGTAATATCAAAAAAAATTTCAAAATAAATTTACGCCTTAACTGAGCAAACAGATTTGTACGATCCAGTCCTGCTCATATTTGTTTTTTTTTTTTAAATGAATCAATGACTGAAATGGTACCAGTAAATATATATTTTTGTCTAATTTTTATAAACAAAAAGTTTTACCTATTATTTTAGTGATTAATCCATGACAATGATCAAATAATTTCTTCGGCCAAATAAACATTTAGTGAAGGGTTAAACTACATATGTGCCCCCCCCAAAAAAAAAGGGAAAATGACAACAAAATACCACCTGAATTTCAAAAAGACAAATAAGGCATTTGAATAAACAAAATGACAAATAGGACACTGGGTACCAATCTGGAATTCAGATTTTTGGCCAAAAGACTGAAATGCCCTTATTAGTGAGGTAAAAGGAAGCGAAACTGAAACGAAAATAAACATGGAGCACTGGTTGAGCTGCACATGAAGAAGGAAAGAGGAATACTGGAGCAACACATTAAAGCTGAAAAAAGGTAAGTTTAAGTCGGTAGTATTTGGAAATGGTATAATCTTACTCCTCCGCATCACCATTTTGTTGGGATTGCTGATTTAATAGATTTTGGTTGTGGGCAAGAGGGTTTGTAGCAAGAGAGAGAGTGAACATGTCGCATTACGTGATGGTGGGGTTTGGGTAGTTCTTTTTTGTGTCTGCTTTATGGCGTAATGGTGGGGACGGGTGTGTTGGAGATGAGGTTTTATACTTTATATTCATTATTTCGAATGACGTAGCGGAAATCAAAAAAGGTGGTAAGCAATTACGTAGGCGTGAAGTTTGCGTTCAGGTGGTGAACGTTGTTAAAATCAATAATGGAGTTGTGAAACCCTCTAATAAAGTTGCGAATAGAAGAAAAGTTTCTCTCTTTGTGTGTGTTTTAGGTGTCACGTACGTTGATGAAAACTAATTGGCGGAGAAGTTAATTTTTTTTATTTAATGTTGTTTCCTGCAGGTTAGCAAGTGGTGATGTCTTGTAACATTGTATCAACATCTTCAAAAAGACTTGCTTGTTATTTTCACGTAGATGGGAAGTTTGTAGAAAATGACGATGGCGAAGTTAAATACTGTGGTGGGACTGTCAGAGTAAGAGTAATAAATGAGGGTACAAAACTTGAAGATTTGAGGGCAAGGATAGGAGAATGGTTCAGCATGGATTGTCATGGCTGTGATATTAAATACACTTTGAGTTTTGATGAGAGGGTATTGGTAGATCTTATAGATGATGGTGAAGTTGATAATCTATTTGAATATAATGACCGTAATGCACATATTTATATAGCACATAAAGGTAATGACAATGTGGAGGAAGGAATGGGTTATCCAGAAACGTAAGTGAGAAAAAAATTTTTTTGTGGTTATGAAAGTTGATAATTGTTGTAATATTGTAGTAAATCTCTTAACAACAGTGGTAATTATAAATGCAGGATCTCAAGAATGGTAGGACTGTCAGAACAGAGTGATGAGCCTACGTTAGAAGGAAATGCTTTGGAAAGTACAAGTTCTGGAGGCAGTGAAAGACCTAATGTAAGCCTGCCATACGGAGTAGTGAGTGCACCTACACCTTTGCCGGAGATGAATTCTTTGAAATGGAAGGAATTGTTGTTAGGACGGAACCAGACTTTTGCAAATGCAGAAGATTTCAAAAAGAAAGTACATAAGTTCAGTATTGCAAACAAGTTTGAGTACAAGTATGTGAAAAATTGTAGGGAAAAAATGTATGTGAAATGTAGTGTTGAAGGTTGTCTGTGGAGGACAAGTGCAAGAGTGGGTAGAAAGAGTACTCCTTTTTTACGTGTGGCAACATTCATAAATGAGCATGTTCATAATGCATAAGACAATCTTCGTGTGGAACATTGTGGTTCAGCTAGCTTGACAGCATCAATCATCACTGATGAGGTAAATGATCACATAGACAGGCGTCCAAATGATATAAGGAAGACTTTGGAAAGAGATTATGGTGTGAAGTTGACATATAAACAAGCATACAGGGCGAAGCAAAAAGCTTTAGAGGACATACATGGCAGGCCTGACCAGTCTTATATGCTTATTCCATGGATATGTGAACAGTTGAAGGAAACAAATAACAAAACTGTGGCCAAATGGGTGGGTAATACTAATAACACATTTGAGTGTGCATTCATAGCATATGGGTGTTGTATAGAAGGCTTTATAGCTGGTGCTAGACATGTACTGTACATTGATGGATGTCATTTAAGTGCACCGTATAAGGGGACATTACTGTCGGCCTCTGCTTATGATGCTGACAATGAATTGTTACCTTTTGCGATTGCTATTGTAAAGGGAGAGACACTTGAGGATTGGACATGGTTCTTATACATGATTAAGGAGATAGTTGGGTTGATGGAATTGACAATTGTGTCAGATGGACACAATGCAATAAAAGGTGCTGTGCAAGCAATATTTGGTGGTGAGAGGCATGCATACTATTACAGACATGTTAAGAAAAACTTCAGTGCACAAATGATTAAATTAAATAGAGGAAAGAGGAAGACTAGTGGGAAAGCAAGGGAGGAGGGACTGCAATACCTAGATGCCATTGCATATGCAAGGCTTGACACCGAGTTTGATGGTGCAATGGATAACATGAGAAAGTTCAATCCACAATTATTTGAGTGGCTTCTTAATCATGGTGATGTTGAAAGGTGGGCCTTAAGTAAATTCCCATTTAAACGGTGGGATAACATCACAACAAACCTTACTGAGTCATTCAATACTTGGATGTTGAAAGAGAGACGATATAATGTTGCCCAACTTATACATGAGCATTGTGAGAAAGTGGCAAAGAAGATGTATGCAGCAAGCATAGCAATGAGTAATTGGAAAAATGGTGTGGGCCCAAACATAGATGCAAAATTGGTGGACAATGTTGCTAGATCAGCATGCATGTTGAGCGTACCTTATGGAGGAGGTAGGGTGTGTGTCCATACAGCAAAAGGAGCTGTACATGTTGATCCTGGTCTAGGCGAATGTACCTGTGTAGCTTAGCAAATGTCAGGCATTCCATGTCCCCATGCCTATGCAGCTATTAAGGCTGTGAATTGCAATGTGTATAATTTTGTTGATGAATACTACAAGATTACATCACAGCAAAAGATTTATGGCAGGACTATGATTCCAGTGGTGACAGTAGACATGCCAAATCCTAACAATTACTGGGTGAAAAATATAGCAAGTCAAGTATTCTTGGCACCGCCTTTGACTAATCGACCACCAGGAAGGCCTAAAATAAAAAGACGAGAGTCACAGTTTCAAAATAGAAAGATCTACCATTGTAGCACATGCCAACAAGTTGGGCACACAAGAAGAACATGCAAGAATCCAAACCCAAGTTGAAGTTAGATGTCAATAGATAGGGTGATTTTTTGGTGTAAATACTATTGCGTGAATGGTAAATTCCATTGCACGTGTAGTTAGTATAGAAGTTAATGGCTCAATCATGTCATAAATACTGTATCTGCTGTCATATTGCTACTGGTTTTTGGTAAATACTGTTGCGTGAATGGTAAATTCCATTGCACGTGTAGTTAGTATGAAAGTTATGGTTCAATGTTTACCGTGCTGTACTTGAGGTGCATTCATTTGAATATATGTAATGTATCTGCTGTCATATTGCTGCTGGTTTTTGGTAAATACTGTTGCGTGAATGGTAAATTCCATTGCACGTGTAGTTAGTATGAAAGTTATGGTTCAATGTTTACCGTGCTGTACTTGAGGTGCAGTCATTTGAATATATGTAATGTATCTGCTGTCATATTGCTGCTGGTTTTTAGTAAATACTGTTGCGTGAATGGTAAATTCCATTGCACGTGTAGTTAGTATGAAAGTTAATGGTTCAATGTTTACCGTGATGTACTTGAGGTGCAGTCATTTGAATATATGTAATGTATCTGCTGTCATATTACTGCTGGTTTTTAGTAAAATTCAGCATCAAATTGTATTGTTCATGGCAAAAAATCTGCCCAGCCCGCCAAAAGGTTGCAAAACCCAGTATAAAAGTAGTAAATAGCACTGAGAAAGTTGTAAATACCACTATGTTTTGCAAAATTCATCACCGAGTTGTATGATTTTAAAACCAAAGTTGCCCAGCCCAATAAACATAAGGCTGCAAAACCCAATATATAAGTAGTAAATCTCACTGTGAGAGTTGTAAATCCCACTATGTGTTTTGCAAAATTCACCGCCGAGTTGTATGGTTTTAAAACCAAAGTTGCCCAACCCAGTAAACATAAGGCTGCAAAACCCACTGTACAAGTAGTGACACTGACTGTAAAAGTTGTTATTCCCACTATGTGTTTTGCAAAATTCACCGCCGAGTTGTATGGTTTTAAAACCAAAGTTGCCCAGCCCAGTAAACATAAAGCTGCAAAACCCACTGTACAAGTAGTAACACTAACTGTAAAAGTTGTTATTCCCACTATATATTTTGCAAAATTCACCGCCGAGTTGTATGGTTTTGAAACCAAAGTTGCCCAGCCCATTAAACGTAGGGATGCAAAACCCACTGTACAAGGAGTAACACTGACTGTAAAAGTTGTTATTCCCACTATGTGTTTTGTCAAACTCAGCATGAAATTGTATGGTTTCTGAAAGGAAGGTTGCCCAGAGAAAAACAGAAGGTTGCAATACCCATTACAGAAGTTGTAAAACTCACTATGAAAGTTGTAAATCCCTCCATGTGTTTTGCAAAATTCACTGTCGAGTTGTATCGTTTTAGGACCAAAGTTGCCCAGCCCAATAAACATACGGTTGGAAAACCCACTGAACAACTAGTAACACTCACTGTAAAAGTTGTTATTGCTATGTGTTTTGTCAAACTCAGTGTGGTATTTGTGTTTTTGTTGAGAAAAGTTGCCCTGCCTCTCAAAACAGGTTGTCAAACCCCTTGAAAAAGTGGTCAAATTCACTTCAACAGTTGTAAATCTCGTCACATGTGTAGTAACACTATGGGAAAATGGTTTAACATTATTTGAAAATGAGGCGCCTTTACATTCCCTGAAAACAGTTTGCAAATCCCCTTACATACATAACTTTAACTAAGACATCATTAAACTTAGACAGCACAATTTAGTGCCGTGATGCACGCTGCTTTTTCCTCGGTGTGGGTTCTGCGGATGACAACAATTTCAATGCTTTTTCGCGCCTTGAATTGAGCTCATGATTAACAAGCCACCACATTGGGTTTCGTCAGAAATCAGCAACATGTTCTTCACTGTAGTCAAGCGTCACACCGGGCTCACATTTGCTCAACCATATTAAAACATGAACGCCACAGTCTCGCCTGCACATGGCAACAATGTCCATGAGTGAAACATGAAGTAGCATTCATACATTATTACATCAACAAGTAATACCACTCACAGATTGTTTTATTGAGGAACAAGGGCCCAAATAATGTCACTATCTGCTTCTTTCTAATGGTATTGGGCTTTACTATCTCAATCATGTCATAAAATCGATCCCTCTGCACAACACATACTTGCATTTGTAAATAATTTGGTAAACAAACAGCATGTTACACAAGAACAGTAACAATATCCTTACACATCCGGTCACCACAGTCATCATATCATCACCAGCTGCACCTTTCTTCTTACTCTTCTTCGCAGGAAAACTTGGCTTCATTGAGTCCAGCACATAGAAATTCATTGTCTTAGGCTCAAGCACAAGACAAAACCAGTGAGCACCAACAAGTGTAGGTCCAAATATCAAGTCACAGTCTCCTATGTTGTAACCGACATATTCAGGCAGAAACTGCTTTTCTCGTTTTCTAGCATCCCACTGAGATGGGTTCGCAGCTAGTATTGCCTGCAGCATTGAATGATTAGTCATGTAGCAGTAATTATTTTGTAAACATCTTAGTAACCTTACCATAAAGTCAGCATCAAATATGTGTCGCTTGACTTCTCCTTCGCTCTTCATATCAGCCAGTAAAGTCTTGCACACAACTGACAAAAGCTGTTTACAAGTAAATTTTAGTTTTTCGCACAGGTATACATGAGCATCAAATATAAAGTTATAGTACTCAGCCCAAGATCACAATACTAACTTACCCGGTTACCAATTCTCTCAATTCCTCCAAGTGTCCTTAGCTAATCTCGAGTGATATCCTCATCAGATATTTTAACTAAAGGCCTAAAAATGTGTTCCTAGTATCATTATGTGTGTAGTTAATCAGTAAACAACCGATAAGTAATATCATTCACAGTCATGCGAATAGTAACTTACATGTCACCCTCCTGCCTTGAACACATACGGGATATCATGTCAAAAACTTGTCCTTTTCCTCCATATTCCTCTTTTTCCTCTTAACAAGCATTGTCAAAATCCATGGAGAATTTATGGCCGACTTCACCTCCCTCTGTGATCTCCTGGGCTGTGCATTCTTGTCCATGGGGGAAACATCAGGGGAATCCATATTTCCTACTTGTATTCCTTCTTCCTCAACATCAATCATGTCGGCCTCATCCGAGTCATCTCCATGATGAGGTACGTGTCCTGAGTCCTGTCCATCATCATCATCTCCCTCATTTTCATCATCACCTCCCTCGTTATCATCATCACCATCATCAGCTTCATCTTCTTCCTTATATTCATCTCCAACTTCACTAGGGCCCTCATCTACCACAGTACGATTTTCCTCCATCGTTATGTGCACCTTATGTAGCTCGTCCTCTACTGCACTAACAAGTCTCTTGTAGCTTAAATCAATTACAGCCATCAACTTTTGATGTAAGCTCTGCAACTCCTGCATCACATTATTAAAAAAGATCAAACACTTTATCTTGTTAATGCACATTGAAATTACCAAGTAAAGCACACACCGGGTGTAAGTCAGCGACACTTCTCCTTGTTCTCTCCTCATCTCCAACCCTAACTTTTGAGCCCTTCTCCTTATACAATAGGCCTCTATTGCTCTGCCTTTCTTTCTTTGTCATCTCCTTTATCCTCTCATCAGTCCAGAATTGAATAGCACTTATTGACCCATCTCTAACAGATTTAGATAATGGGAAGTGCTCAGCAAGATATAACTGCAACATCAAATTATTAACTTTATCATCACTCCATTCAAACATATAACAAAAAAACAATGGTAATAAATACATACCAATAAGAGGTAGATGCATCCTCCGACATTGCAACTCCTTTCATCATTGTCTTTCCCTATGTTTCTATACACTTCAACATAATCTTCCATCTCTTTCCACAAGTTGTTCACAATGTATGTGGCCCAATCAAATCGGTGAAATTCATTCATAGTACAACACATCACCCTTACTAGCTTGTCACTCACTGTTGTTTGTGAGGTAGGAGCTAGAAAACTCCCAAGTGTGTACAGCATGAACAAGAACTCAAAATTCTCTTCATTCTCCCCAAATTTAATGTTCTTGAGTATCTTGGTAAAAGAGACTTTACCATATTCATTCTTCAACCTCTTATATGTTTCATCATCATCATTCACATCCGTTCTTAACTTTTCCCCTATGTGGGGTACATCCAACAACTCCGCAACATCTTCTGCATCAATTTCCTTGATCTTCCCCCTTATTGTAAATTGATGAGTAGGCGGATCATATGCTCGAAGCATGCGTACTATGAGGTCACGAGGGAGTCTCTCACATCCCATGTCAAGCAAACTTGCAAATCCCAAACTTTGTACCTTGGCTTTCAATCTGTCATTGCTATTTATAAATTCCACCAATGACTTGTATTGCTGAACTGAGCAACGGGTGCTAAAAGCAACTTTTTTCATCCGCTTCTTCTTCGTCCCTTGCTTCTTTGGTTTGTTCACTTTATCATTATACTTCTTCCTCTCCTCCGGTGGCAGCTCCCTCCATGCCTTTGCTCCCTCCCTAACTTCTTCTCTCCTATTCCTAAACTCTTTGCCCGCCTTAAATTCATGGAGAAACAGCATGTACCCATTCTTCACTTGTCCACTTCCCTCTCCTTCTCCTTCTACTTGTACTTGTAATTCCATTTTCCCTGCT